AAGGAACTGCCGAATGCTGTCTCTTCGCTTCAGTCTAATGCGTTGTTCAACATGCACATGGAGACATATATACATTTGTATGTTGGATTACAGGTGTAGGAACAATTGGAAATCCATACAGACGTCTTCGTGCATGCGAATATACGTAATTCCAATGGCAATACCAATACACACACACACACGCAAGTGTATATATATATATATATATATTTGTGTGTGTGTCGGTGGGTGACAGGGTGCGCAGGGACAGCTGAGCAAGCAGTAGGCTGCCACACAATTGGGCGAAATCGGATGCTTTGGCCTGATGTCTGTAAAGCCATTAAAAACGGACCTGGTCAGAGCGGCTTCGATATGGGGCAGGGTGCTTTAGGGAAGCACGTGGAGGACGACGCATCGGACGAGGTTAATGGCACCGGACAGAGGCGTAGGGCGGAATTCGCGAACGGATACGAAGGGTAGGAGTATGCTACTTTTGGTTAGAAAAAAAGAAATTTACACCAACCGAGCAAAAGGCTCCGTAAACGTTATGATTTTCAAGGGAATGACAATTATGCAATGGACAGTGTGACTCATCAAAGGCGGTTCTCTTTAAAGAATTAAAATCGAAAGATTAAGTTGAAACTATAGTCACCGAGGGCCGCCTTGGTGATACAAGGCCTGGTATTTGATGAGCTCACGATGGACGCACCTGTTTGCCAGATTACTCTTATGCAGTTTCTACACCCGATCTCGTCAGCTCCCCAAGCCGGATTCGGAACCGAGCCCTTGAATTGTAAGTGACAGCACACGAAAACTTAAGCCACAGGACTTGTAACTTTCAAGACAAGACCGGAGGTACCTGCTAATGCACACTTCTGATAAAATACAGGCCAACAAGCCACATATAAGCTCAGTGATAGATTGAAAAATTGCTTAAATATGTTGTTGGAGCACTCCAACATGCTAGGTATTCTAACATCAACCAATTAAGGGATTCTTCGAAACCCAGTTTTTATGCATTAGTGAAATAGTCTCCGATGGCATTGTTGAGTTCAAACAAGTCACGGGTCTTGCTTATCCTTACCCGGTGGCATTATGCAAATATTATTTGGCAAAGCTCCGTTTGCCCTTGAAGGCATTTCTGACGTGGGGCTCATTGGCACTCGGACTGCGTAGCCAATTGGCAACGTTTCACCAATCTACAGTCAATAATCTTGTTCATGTATTTCTAAGAATGCTGATTAAACCTGAGTGAGATTGAAACTGAACTCCACTCTGTATATGAAAGCACTTTGGAAAACATAGCAAATGGAGGATTTTGTTTGACCCCCGTTTTTACAACTCGGTCATCTCTTCGGGGGAAACTGCAAAAGGTGTCGAAATCGACATGCGGCAGTGCCAGATACGAATTGTCAAAATGAAAAGTCATCGGTCGGAGGCTGACAACAGTGATGAAAGATCGCTATTTAGGTTACATTCTTCGAAGTCCCACTAGAAACACGACCAAGTTGCGCATATGAGTCCAAACTTTAGTTCATCCTGAAGTCATGATCCCATTTCATCGTATCTTGGACGGACAGATATGCCTATAATAACCACCATTGCTGTCTAAATTTGCCGATATTTGCGAGCAGTATCGGGTAAAAGATTGGATTACATCACTTCATTGGCGATTTCACATTCCCTCCTTTACATGTTTTGAGAATGATGCCACATCAAAGGCATCATTACTAGTTTTACAACCACTATAGATAAGTGCGTTTTCAGGTTCTGGATGCCTGGTATTCTAGGATCTACCTATATTTTTACCTATCTATGGATAGCTTGGCAAAGGCGGCTATGAAACAGGATTTTCTACCAGTAAGGTAATTCGTGTCATTACTTTTTTTTTATGAGTAGGCTTTCGAGACTACCAGTAGATCATGTGAAGTTTATTCATTCTATATCGTTTAGGATGATAAGGGGACTGGTGGTTGAATTTTCCCATTGTGATATGAGGTATGCTATGTGACATGGGTGTTAGGTGTGGTGTTAGGGTTAACGTGTCAAGATTATACGTTGTACTGTCATGGTTCGAGTCCAGTTTGGGGTGTTGATAAGACCTAGACGAGGCCGAACTTGCAGTCCACCCCGGATGAGAATACCTTATGGGAAGGCAAGGTTATGTAAAATAAAATGCAAACGTAGGAAAATTGAACTACCATTCCCCTTATTACCCTAAAGAAAATAGAATGAATACACCTCATATTCTTGTAATTATATTTAGCCTTGTCAAATGCCGAATTCATTTTGCAAGTTTCTTGTGTGACATGAAGTATTCCGATTGGGTAGGTTGCTGTTGGGCTGTGGTGATCTTGTTACTTGATGTGTACGGCTAGGTTTTGAACTCCGCTGAGAATGCTGACGAGAAACCTTAGTTTGGCTTGGATGAGAAAAGCTTTAAGGAGGCGAAACGAAGTGGAATTCAATATTATCTTGGGGT